GGGGAGGGGGGGGGGGCTGCTCATCAGCCCTTGGCATCTCCCAGCGACGTGCGAGCGAGAGGGCAGCGCGGGGCCGTGCGTCCCCTCCTTCCCTTCCTGCTCCAGCAGCCGTGAGGGGTGGGTTTTGGGGGATGGCAGCAGAGCAGGTCTGCCCCCCTCTCCCCTGCGCCAAAGTGAAAGCAGACCTCCTTGACGCTTAATCAGATTTGAATGTGGTTTTTGGCGTGGCTTTAAAGAGACTGGCAGTGAATAGCTGGTTTTGATGCCATTTATTAAAAACCGCTGGTAGAATTTGTCTCGGGAAGCCTTTGTGAGAGCTGGCAAATGCACAAGGGTTTGATGCAGTTAATGTATTTTAATCTTCACCTCCCCACCCCTTCTCCTTTGCTGTCACTAATTGTAGGGCTCTCAGCTGTCTGCTGCCTTCTCCCGGGGGACGGCAGGCTCCACAGGGACCTCTGCGCAGACACGGCCTTAATAGGGTCGTGGTGGCACGGGGAAAAGTGAGCATCCTATCTGGGGAGGGGGCTGGGGCAGGATGCTGGGTCCTGGGTACCGCGCCGGGCTCTGACACAGGGGTGCTGGGTGGCCCTGGCTGTGTTAATTCACCTCCTGATGCGGCCGTGTTGTCCTGGAGTCAACGAGGGAAATGGGTGGAGGAAGCCAAGATGTCCCTTTCCCTGTGGCCCCTTCCAACTCCTAATGTCCTGTGTCTGGGCAAGTGCAAAGTGGTGGTGTGGGACCTCCTGGGAAGGGCTCCCTGTGTTTTCAGATTGAGGATGATGCGTATCCAGTCTTTTCTTACTGGCTTTATCCCTCACTTTATCACCTTCCCTGGATCTGGAGGACCTTGCAAGCCCATTTCACGTTCCTCACCTGCATTTGGGACTTATTGAGGCTTTTTTTCCCATGGTTTGTGCCTGAAGGCCCTGCAGCCCCTCATGGTGCGGTGGGGGCTGTCGGAAGCACCATCATATTTATGTGAGCGACTAGGTCTGATGCATGGATTGCACTGATGAGCAGCTGGCTCCCCGGCCACAGAATTTTGGGCAAAGCTCAAGAGCTTGCAGGGGAGCAGCGGATACTGCGGAGCTCAAGGAACAAACAGTGGCATCTCCCCCCGCCTGCGGTTCAGGCTGTGCCTTGCTCCCATCCCTGCTGCGTGGAAGAGCTCACAGCTGCCCTGGAGCACTCTACCTGGTCAAGACACTGAAGTCATAGCCGTGTTCTATTTAATTTGTGGGGGTTTTTTTGTCTGCCTCATCAAAGGAAAGAAACCCTGGCCTTTTTCTGCCAGCCCTTGCTCACGTGAGTCGCAGACTCAGCGAGAGGGAGGCACAGATGAAGATGACTCCCAGGAGAGCAGCAGTCTGAGAGCCTCTTAAACAAATGGGAACCGAGCAGCTTTGCTGATCCCCTGAGGGTCTGGCTGTTAAATAAACTCTCCAAAGAGGCTGTGTGTGTGTGTGAGTTGGTGCAGGGTCGTGTTTGTACAGGGGCTGGCTGTTGCTGAGCCATTAGGATGGCATGGGTTGGGTGTTGGGTGTCACTCCTTGACATAGCAATGCAGGAGCATCCTTGGCCGGCCTTGTCCTCCTCCGAGAGCTTGCCTGGGTTGTGGTCAGAGCGACGCTAACGTGGCCTTTCCCTCTGCTTTCCCCCTCCAGGCTTCCACCTCAGCGGGACGGTAACGGAGCCGGCGACTGCGACAGAGCCCGAGATGACCTACAAGGTGGCCATCAGCTTCGACCGCTGCAAAATCACCTCGGTGACGTGCGGCTGCGGGAACAAGGACATTTTTTACTGCGCCCACGTCGTGGCGCTTTCGCTGTACCGGATCCGCAAGCCGGACCAGGTCAAACTCCGTCTTCCCATCTCAGAGACCCTTTTCCAGATGAACAGGGACCAGCTGCAGAAGTTTGTTCAGTATTTGATCACGGCGCACCACACCGAGGTGCTGCCCACCGCCCAGAAGTTGGCTGATGAGATCCTCTCGTCCAACTCGGAGATCAACCAAGTGCACGGTAACTCCTCCATCCTCCCGGGTGTCTCAGTGCTGATCCCCTCTCTTTTTGGGGATGGGTGGTGGCTTCACGCTGACGGCGGTGGCCTTCATTTTGCTGTGTCTGTTGCCGCACAGCGAGAGGTGACAGCGTCAAACTGACGTGGGTGTTGGGCCCACATCGGCGTTGGCCGTGTGTCCCCATTTTGCCCTCTGTTCTTTATGTGTTTATCTGCCAAACCCTGGCTGAAACAGGCAGGAAAAGGCAGAGCGGACAGGCTGGACGTGCACAAGGTGCTGCTCAGGGTGGGATGGAGAAGCCAAGGGTGGAGGAAGGGAGCACGTTTAGTCCCCGTTGCAGGAGGATGTGGAGCTGGGACCCTGGGGAGCGGGAGGTGTGGTGGGGATGCGGCTCCTCCGGTGTCTGGGGATGTGGTGTCAGCCCACCCCCGCACATTGCTAAGGCAGATGCCACTGAGCCAGCGGGAGTTAAAGCTTTAATCTTCATGGGTGTTAATTTGCCCCTAATAAATGAGCGCTGCCATCCTGACCTACTGCACAAAGGCAGCGGAGATGGGTCCTGGGGCTTTGTGTCTGCAAGAGGCTCTTGGCTTCCTCCCCTGGACAGCACTGGCTGGGGCACGGTGCTCATCCCTGCCCTGCTCCACTCGCCCACTGGCCCAGGAGGTGGCCCAGGCTCCCTGGGGACTTGCCCTGAGGCTCCCTTCACCAAACCAGGGGCTCCCAGTGTCTTTCCAAAACCCAGGAGCCCGCTCTGCTCCGCGCCTGTCCCACCAGCTGGGGAGCAGAGATGATAAACAGTGATCTGTGGGGATTAACACACGTTTGTTAAGTGCTCTGAAGATGAAAAGCCCCACATGCAGCCTAAAATAGGGTCTGGGCTGGTTGAATCCACATGTAGAGGTGAGGCCGGGGGTCCACCTCCACCGCACGGGTGATGGCAGCTCTGATTTTGGATGTTGTCCCCTCCCTTTAGCTGCTGGTTCCTGCTTCTCCCTTGGGAGAGGCTTTTGTCTCCTCCTGCCATGTGTGAGGTTGTGCTCTCAGTTACTGCTGGGGAGGGTTTCCTCATTTGCTTGGCAGTAAAAGGGAATGAGAAGCTGTGGTGCTGCAGGAATCTGGTGGGGTCAGCCCCCTCCCCGAGCCGATCCACTGAGGCTGAGGTTGGGCACGGTCCCTTCTTGGCCATTCTTTGAGGCTGCTTTCACCAAAGCAGACCGAGGAAAAGCTTTTAAGGCCCTGAATATTTATTGCTCCTGAGTCAGCAAAAAGCCTGGTGATTGAGAGTCTTACAGAGATACAGATGTTGGCTTGAGTTCAGCGTATCTGCCTCTCGGTTTTAGAGGCGGTTTTTAAAAAACAAAGCAAAAACGCTCTGTCCCTTCAGACCCACGCGAATCCACGTGCGGTTGGGAGGTGATGGAGACGTCCTGACCTGCACAGCAGAAGGTGGCACCCATCTGACACCCATGTGGCTGCCAGCCCGGGGTCACGAGCGAGTGAACGCCTCTGCAAGCAGGAAAACGGCCTCCTGGGGGAGGATGCAGATCAGCCCTGGGATGAGATGATCTAAGGATGACCTTAAGATGATCCCCAACTCTTAGATGTCGCACCCTGCGAAAGGGAAGGGTCAAAAATCCTCGCGTTCAAGCTCAGATTGATGTTATCCAGGCTTCGGCTCTCGGTCCTGGGCAGTGCTGCAAGCTTTGCCTTCCTCGTCCTGCCGGTGCAACGCAGCTGCAGGGCAATTTAACTGCAGAGCTCCTTGGGTGAGGAAAGGCCGCAAGGCTGTGGGACTGCCTGTGTGGCACCAATCCAGCCGCTCCTCGGGAGCTCCGGGTGAAGGGGATCACACTTTTCCCCCGTCTTGCCCTTCCCGGGGGCATTCACAGAGGGTTCCTGGTCCTGGGGTTTTAAATCCCTCAAGGTATTAAGCTTTACATAGAGTTTTACGGGCTTACATTGTCCGTGTCTAGTTCAGACGTTTGGGGTCCCGCCTGAGGCTGAGCTGGCTTTTGGCAGCAAACCTCTGTGGTCCAAACTAACCTGGTGTGTGCACTGGGTGCTCGAGGTTGTTACACCTTAGAGCAAGAGCAGCTTCTCTAGAAATCCTTTCTTGTTCCCCATTTCTTCTGGGAAGAGGTCTGTCGAGCTTCAGATTAACACCAGGTCTTGCCCACCTTCCTCTGCTCGCCCAAAGCGCTGCTGATGGCGAACACGTGGGATAGAGGAGCTGGTTCTTTTTTACTTCTTACCAGGGCAGGTAGTGATAGGACAAGGGGTGATGGTTTTAAACTGGAAGAGGGGAGATTTAGACTGGATATTAGGAGGAAATTCTTCACTGTGAGGTGGTGAGGCCCTGGCCCAGGTTGCCCAGAGAAGCTGTGGGTGCCCCCTCCCTGGCAGTGCCCAAGGCCAGGTTGGACGGGGCTTGGAGCAGCCTGGGCTGGTGGAGGTGTCCCTGCCCATGGGGGTTGGACTGGGGGGGCTTTAGGGTCCCTTCAACCCAAACCATGCTGTGATCCTATGATGCTGCACCTTGGGATTGCCCCAGGCTCTCTGAGAAATGCCCCTCGTGCACGGAGATCGTCTGGTTCTATAAAACAAGGCTTTCGGGGCCGTTCCTTTTTCCCCCGGCACAGAAAATCGCAGGCCGTTGTCTGGCGTGGGGCTCAGAGCTTTGTTCCTTGGTCTGTAGCCGCGGGCTGTGCACCGCATGCTGATCGTCCCGGCTGCCTTCCTAGAAGGAAATGCAGGCTCTCCAGTAACGGCGGCGCCTCGGAGCGCGGCCAAGGCGCTCGCTCGCGTGTTCCCAGGGGACTCAGCCCGAGCGGGGAGCGCTGGGTGTGCCCGCCGTGCTCCCCACTTCACCCCTGCCTGCTGCAGCGCTCACGTTCCTGCGCCCGCAGCCGGAGCGTCTCGCGTGTCTGACGCCTCCGCCTGGAGCGGCAGCTGGAGCGAGGACACCGGGGTGGGTTTTGGTGCTGCTGTGTCCCCTGCTCGGCTGTGTCCCTGCTTCTTGGGGACAAAGTCAGCAGCACGGACCAAGGTTGTCATTGTGCCAGCAAATGTGACTGGGGGCAGCCAGGACCAAGCTGGACAGCTTGAGTCCAGGAGCATCCTGTGTTGTGGTTTAGGGCTGCCTGGGCACTGAACCCTGGCCAGACGCTCTCTGTGAACCCCTCTGCCCTCCCCAAAAGAGAAGAGAAAAGAGAAGAAGGGAGAGAGACTGCACGGGTTGGAAAAGAAAACAACAGGTTTGATGAAACAATAATACTGATACTGCAGGATAATGATGGGAATAGGAAATAATGGAATAGATACAGAGATGTACAAATAGATCTACAAAACCAATCTAAAATCCTCCCCCAATGACCATGACGTCCCCAGAGGCTCTGGGAGCACTGGAGAAGTCCCAGTGTGGAGCCAGCAGCAGTGGGAGCTGATGCAGGAACACAGGGCTGAGGATGAGAGGCAGGCAAAGCAGCAGGGTCTGCTGGGCCTTGGGCCATTGCAGGGGTGGAGAGGGAAGGAAGGGTCCAAGGTGGAAGGGTCAGCCCCTGGTGATCCCTGGGCTTTGCACTGAGTGTGGCGTGTGTGGGATGCAATCCCTGGTTGGGCAGGTTTGGGTCTGCTCCTCCTGTAGGTGCAGACACGGCCCCCATGGTGAGACAGTGGCCTTGTGCTGCTCACTTGTAGCAGCACCCAGTGTGTGGAAAACCATGCTGCTGGTTTCAGTGAGTTCAGCCCCTGAGAAGAGACTGAGCTGGAAAGTGAAATCACTCAATAGGAAATCAGTTCTGTTAGCTCAAATCAGGACCATCCTGGTGGTGGCCACCTTGTCACTCTGCGCCCTCCGCTCCTTGCAGAGCATCAGCCCGGGGCTCACGTTGGTTTGCCCTGGGGGGCAGTGGGAAAGGGGCTCAGAGCCAGCAGCACTGGTGAGGACAGGTGCAGTTTTGGTGTTGTGGGGATCCATGCTCTACCACGGGAAGAATGTGTCCTTCTGAGGTGGAAATGAAGAACAGAGAGAGATGGCTTTGGTGCAGCCAAGTATTGCAGAGAGGACCGGGAGGTATTGAAGAGGGCAAGGCTGTGAGGAGTTGAAATGGGAATTGTAGGCAAAGAGGGAGATGTGTTCCTGACCACCTTGAGCCCTTCCTGGGCTAATGCTGCCCATCGCCCGCTGGCCCATCCTGCTCCCTGTGCACAGCAATTTGACTGGGCTGCCAGGCTGGCCGTGCCCCTGCCCTCTTGCTGATGTTTGAGGAGTCCATGGGAGGTCTCCAGCTTTGGAGTCATCCCACGACAGCATCTGGAGGGCAGCACTGGTAAATCTGTTGGAAATTCTGCTTCCCCGCTGGGGAGGAACCAGCACTGGTACCGGCTGGCCCTGAGCGCTCCCTGGCCACCGCACTGGTGGCCACTTCTGTTTCACTTGCCCTGTTGCCCTCAGAGGATTTTGAATTTTCAAGCCATCCCGGAGGCTCCGTCCAACCTGCCTCCCCTTGAAAATGAACCCTGAGCCTTGGCGGAGCTGGACTCCTGGCGTTGCTGCTATTTTTAATTCCTCGTTAGAGCTCGTTTCCTTTCCGGTGCCTGGTTATTTTCTCTCGGAGGTTTTCTGCTGTTTGTTTATTTGGCCGTGTCCTCCCCCTCCTGCCCTGAGCTGTTCCTTCGCCTCTGTTTTCTCTCTGGACGCCGGAGGGGCAGCCCGGATGCATCCGGCACTGCCACCACGTGCAGGCGTGAGATGGCCTTGTGGACCCCTCCACGGCAGAGCCCTCCCTGGCACCACAGCCCTGGAGCCAGCGTGGCCAGACCCTGAGCCACCAGCAGTGCCGGGCATGGTCACAGCATCCCAGCATGTGAGGAGCTGGAAGGACCTGGAAAGCTGATCCAGTGCAACCCCTGCCAGAGCAGGATCACCAGAGCAGTCACACAGGAACACGGCCAGGGCTTGGGTGTCTCCACACAAGGAGACTCCACAACCTCTCTGGGCAGCCTGGGCCATGCTCCAGAACCCTCACACTCACAAAGTTTCTCCTCATCTTCAGCTTGAACCTCCTGTGCTCCAGCTTGGGACCATTGCCCCTTGTCCTGGCATTGGCCATCCCAGAGCAGAGCCTGGCTCCTTCCTCCTGACACTGCCCTTTCCCAATGGATCCCCAGGAATGAGGGCACCCCTCAGTCTCCTCTGCTCCAAGCTCCAGAGCCCCAGCTCCCTCAGCCGCTCCTCAGCAGGAGATGCTCCACGCCCTCCATCACTTTGTGGCCCTGCTGGACTCTTTCAAGCAGTTGGCCAAGACGACTATGAGGGAGGCCACAGCATCCCTGGGTTGCTTTTTCCACTGGTTGATCAGCTCCAGGCACTGGTTAAACATAAGAATTATCTCTTTTTCTGTGCATTGCTGCTCCTGGTCTGGGTGAGATGCTCTGGGAGCACTTCCCACACCACCAGGCTGATGTATGTGCCCTTCTTGGGTTCGGGATGTGCCGATGCCTTGGTGTGACCCACAAGGTCCCACCACCTCCTCAACCCTGGAAACCTGCAGCTTTCCATCCCAGGGGCACCTTTTGCTTTCTTCAAGTCGAGCAGCTCATTTCTGAGCAAGGCGTTGAATTTTCCGTGCTCAGCTTCACTCTGTGTTATAACTTACAGCTTTTTTCCAGCTCTTATTTCCCAGTCTTTGTGTCTGCCTGCAGAAATCCTGTTTGGCTGTCAAACAGTTAAACCCCAAGCCCGCAGCGAGGGGGGGAGTCCTGCGTGATGGATTGCATTTTGATCTCTGTTTCTTGCATTTTGATCTGTTTCTTGCATTTTTACCTCCGTTTCTTGCATTTCAACCTCTGTTTCTTGCATTTCGACCTCCATTTCTACGCTGAAACCCCTCTTTTCCACTCCAGATGTGCAGCGCTGTCTCCTTCGATCTGAACATGGCAGGACGAGGACCCGGCGCATCCGAAGCGGGGCTGTTT